TAGAGTGACCAGCATCGACCATCTACAGCGTCCGTCTAGAGTGACCAGAAGCGACCATCTACAGCGACCGTCTAGAGTGACCAGCAGCGACCATCTCCAGGGACGAGCATCGACCATCTACAGCGACGAGCATCGACCATCTACAGCGAGCATCTAGAGAGACGAGGATCGACCATCTACAGCGACCGTCTAGAGTGACCAGCATCGACCATCTACAGCGACCGTCTAGAGTGACCAGCTTCGACCATCTCCAGGGACGAGCATCGACCATCTAAAGCGACCATCTCCAGGGACGCGCATCGACCATCTACAGCGACCACCTCCAGGGACGAGCATCGACCATCTACAGCGACCATCTCCAGAGACGAGCATCGACCATCTACAGCGACCATCTCCAGAGACGAGCATCGACCATCCACAGAGACGAGCATCGACCATCTACAGCGACGAGCATCGACCATCTCCATAGACGAGCATCGACCATCTCCATAGACGAGCATCGACCGTCTACAGAGACGAGCATCGACCGTCTACAGAGACGAGCATCGACCGTCTACAGAGACGAGCATCGACCGTCTACAGAGACGAGCATCGACCGTCTACAGAGACGAGCATCGACCGTCTACAGAGACCAGCATCGACCGTCTACAGAGACGAGCATCGACCGTCTACAGAGACCAGCATCGACCATCTACAGCGATCATCTACAGAGACCCGCAGCTATCATCTACAGAGACGAGCATCGACCATCTACAGCTATCATCTACAGAGACGAGCATCGACCATCTACAGCTATCATCTACAGAGACGAGCATCGACCATCTACAGCGACCATCTACAGAGACGAGCATCGACCATCTACAGAGACGAGCATCGACCATCTACAGAGACGAGCATCGACCATTTACAGCGAACATCTACCGAGAAGAGCATCGACCATTCTAGAGCGACCATCTACCGAGACGAGCATCGACCATCTACAGCGACCATCTTCAGAGACGCGCATCGACCATCTACAGCGACCATCTTCAGAGACGCGCATCGACCATCTACAGCGACCATCTTCAGAGACGAGAATCGACCATCCACAGACCAGCATCGACCATCTACAGTGACGAGTAGCGACCATCTACAGCGATCATCTACAGAGACGAGCACCGACCATCTACAGCGACCATTTACAGAGACGAGCATCGACCATCTACAGCGACGAGCATCGACCATCTACAGAGACGAGCAACGACCATCTACAGCGACCATCTTCAGAGACGAGCATCGACCATCTAGAGCGACCATCTTCAGAGACGAGCATCGACCATCTACAGCGACGAGTGGCGACCATCTAGAGAGACGAGCATCGACCATCTACAGCGACCATCCACAGAGACGAGCATCGACCATCCACAGAGACGAGCATCGACCATCTACAGCGACGAGCAGCGAACATCTACAGAGACCATCTACAGCGACGAGCAGCGAACATCTACAGAGACCATCTACAGCGACGAGCATCGACCATCCACAGCGACCATCTACAGAGACGAGCATCGACCATCCACAGCGACCATCTACAGAGACGAGCATCGACCACCTACAGAGACGAGCATCGACCATCTACAGCGATCATCTAGAGAGACGAGCATCGACGATCTACAGCGACCGCCTACAGAGACGAGCATCGACGATCTACAGCGACCGCCTACAGAGACGAGCATCGACGATCTACAGCGACCGCCTACAGAGACGAGCATCGACGATCTACAGCGACCGCCTACAGAGACGAGCAGCGACCATCTACAGCGACCGCCTACAGAGACGAGCAGCGACGATCTACAGCGACCATCTACCGAGACGATCATCGACCATCTACAGCGACCATCCACAGAGACGAGCATCGACCATCCACAGAGACGAGCATCGACCATCCACAGAGACGAGCATCGACCATCTACATCGACCATCTACAGACCCGCAGCGACCATCTATAGCGACCATCTACAGAGACGAGCATCTACGGAGACGAGCATCGACCATCTACAGCGACCATCTACGGAGACGAGCATCGACCATCTACAGAGACCACCTACAGAGACGAGCATCGACCACCTACAGACGAGCATCGACCATCTACAGCGAGCATCTTGAGTGACCAGCATCGACCATCTACAGCGACCGTCTAGAGTGACCAGCATCGACCGTCTAGAGTGACCAGCATCGACCATCTACAGCGACCTAGAGGGACCAGCATCGACCATCTACAGCGACCGTCTAGAGTGACCAGCATCGACCATCTACAGCGACCGTCTAGAGTGACCAGCATCGACCATCTACAGCGACCGTCTAGAGACCAGCTTCGACCATCTCAGGGACGAGCATCGATCATCTACAGCGACCGTCTACAGCGACCATCTACAGAGACGAGCATCGACCATCTACAGAGACGAGCATCGACCATCTACAGCGATCATCTACAGAGACGAGCATCGACCATCTACAGAGACGAGCATCACCATATACGGCGACCATCTACAGAGACGAGCATCACCATATACGGCGACCATCTACAGAGACGAGCATCACCATATACGGCGACCATCTAGAGAGACGAACATCGACCATCTACAGAGACGAACATCGAACATCTACAGCGACCATCTACCGAGACGAGCATCGACCATCTACAGCGACCATCTAGAGACGAGCATCGACCATCTACAGCGACCATCTAGAGAGACGAGCATCGCCCATCTACATCGCCCATCTAGATCGCCCATCTAGAGAGACGAGCATCGCCCATCTACATCGCCCATCTACCGAGACGAGCATCGACCATCTACAGCGACCATCTAGAGAGACGAGCATCGACCATCTACAGCGACCATCTAGAGAGACGAGCATCGCCCATCTACATCGACCATCTAGAGAGCATCGCCCATCTACATCGACCATCTAGAGCGACCATCTACATCGACCATCTAGAGAGCGTCGCCCATCTACATCGACCATCTAGAGAAGACATCGCCCATCTACATCGACCATCTAGAGACGAGCATCGACCATCTAGAGACGACCATAGACCATCAACAGCTAGAGAGAGACGAGCATCGACCATCTAGAGAGACGAGCATAGACCATCCAGCTACCATCTAGAGACGAGCATCGACCATCTACATCGCCCATCTAGAGACGAGCATCGACCAACTACAGCGAGGACGAGCATCGCCCATCTACATCGCCCATCTAGAGAGACGTACATCGCCCACCCTAGCGAGACGAGCATCGCCCATCTACATCGCCCATCTAGAGAGAAGGCATCGCCCATCTAGAGAGAAGAGCATCGCCCATCTACAGACGAGCATCGACCATCTACATCGAGAGACGAGCCTCGACCATCTACATCGACCAGCGACCATCTACATCGACCATCTAGAGACGAGCATCGAGCGACCATCTAGAGACGAGCATCGACCATCTACAGCGACCATCTACAGCGACGAGCAGACCATCTCAGAGACGAGCATCGACCATCTACAGCGACCGTCTACAGGACGAGCATCGACCGAGCGACCGTCTACAGCGACCGTCTACAGAGACGAGCATCGACCGTCTACAGCGACCATCTACAGAGACGAGCATCGACCATCTACAGCGACCATCTACAGAGACGAGCATCGACCATCTACAGAGACGAGCATCGACCATCTACAGCGATCATCTACAGAGACGAGCATCGACCATCTACAGAGACGAGCATCACCATATGCGGCGACCATCTACAGAGACGACATCACCATATACGGCGACCATCTAGAGACGAACATCGACCATCTACAGTGACCATCTAGAGACGAACATCGACCATCTACTGCGACCATCTACCGAGACGAGCATCGACCATCTACAGCGACCATCTAGAGAGACGAGCATCGACCATCTACAGCGACCATCTAGAGACGAGCATCGCCCATCTACATCGCCCATCTAGATCGCCCATCTAGAGAGACGAGCATCGCCCATCTACACCATCTACCGAGACGAGCATCGACCATCTACAGCGACCATCTAGAGACGAGCATCGACCATCTACAGCGACCATCTAGAGACGAGCATCGACCATCTACAGCGACCATCTAGAGAGACGAGCATCGCCCATCTACATCGACCATCTAGAGGCATCGCCCATCTACATCGACCATCGCATCGCCCATCTACATCGACCATCTAGAGAGAGGAGCATCGCCCATCTACATCGACCATCTAGAGAGAGGAGCATCGCCCATCTACATCGACCATCTAGAGAGACGAGCATCGACCATCTAGAGAGACGAGCATAGACCATCAACAGCTACCATCTAGAGAGACGAGCATCGACCATCTAGAGAGACGAGCATAGACCATCAACAGCTACCATCTAGAGAGACGAGCATCGACCATCTACATCGCCCATCTAGAGAGACGAGCATCGACCAACTACAGCGACCATCTAGAGAGACGAGCATCGCCCATCTACATCGCCCATCTAGAGAGATGTACATCGCCCACCTAGCGAGACGAGCATCGCCCATCTACATCGCCCATAGCATCGCCCGAGCATCGCCCATCTAGAAGACGAGCATCGCCCATCTACATCGCCCATCTAGAGAGACGAGCCTCGACCATCTACATCGACCATATAAAGAGAGACGAGCCTCGGCCATCTACATCGACCATCTAGAGAGACGAGCATCGATTATCTACAGCGACCATCTAGAGAGACGCGAATCGACCATCTACAGAGACGAGCATCGACCATCTAGAGAGACGAGCATCGACCATCTACATCGCCCGTCTAGAGAAACGAGCATCGACCAACTACAGCGACCATCTAGAGAGGATCATCGCCCTTCTACATGGCCCATCTAGAGAGAGGAGCATCGCCCATCTAGAGAGACGAGCATCTTCCCTCTACATCGCCCATCTAGAGCGACTAGCATCGCCCATCTAGAGGAGCATCGACCATCATGGCCCATCTAGGAGCCTTGATCTACATGGCCCATCAGAGAGAGCCTTGCCCATCTACATGGCCCATCGGCCTTGCCCATCTACATGGCCCGTCTAGAGAGCCTTGCCCATCCATGGCCGTCTCAGAGAGAGGAGCCTTGCCCATCTGCATGGCCCATCTAGAGAGAGGAGCCTTGCCAATCTACATGGCCCATCTAGAGAGAGGAGCCTTGCCCATCTACATCGACCATCTAGAGACGAGCATCGACCATCATCGACCATCTAGAGAGGGCATCGACCATCTAGAGAGACGAGCATCGACCATCTACATCGCCCGTCTAGAGAGACGAGCATCGACCATCTACAGCGACCATCTAGAGAGACGAGCATCGACCATCTAAAGAGACGAGCATCGACCATCTACAGCGACCATCAGAGACGAGCATCTACCATCTTCTGTGACGAGCATCTACCATCTTCTGTGACGAGCATCTACCATCTTCTGTGACGCATCGTCCATCTACTGTGACGAGCATCGACCATCTACAGCGACCATCTACAGAGACGAGCATCGATCATCTACAGCGACCATCTAGAGAGACGAGCATCGACCATCTAGAGAGACGAGCATCGACCATCTACATCGCCCGTCTAGAGAAACGAGCATCGACCAACTACTGGCGACCATCTAGAGAGACGATCCATCTCATCGCCCATCTAGAGAGGAGCATCGCCCATCTAGAGACGAGCATCGCCCATCTACATCGCCCATCTAGAGAGACGAGCATCGCCCATCTAGAGAGACGAGCATCGCCCATCATCGCCCATCTAGAGAGACGAGCATCGACCATCTACATCGCCCATCTAGAGCATCGACCATCTACATCGACCATCTAGAGAGACGAGCATCGACCATCTACATCGTCCATCTAGAGAGACGAGCATCGACCATCTACATCGTCAATCTAGAGAGACGAGCATCGACCATCTACATCGTCAATCTAGAGAGACGAGCATCGACCATCTACAGTGACCATCTAGAGAGACGAGCATCGACCATCTACAGTGACCATCTAGAGAGACGAGCATCGACCATCTACAGTGACCATCTAGAGAGACGAGCATCGACCATCTACAGTGACCATCTAGAGAGACGAGCATCGACCATCTACAGTGACCATCTAGAGAGACGAGCATCGACCATCTACAGCGACCATCTAGAGAGGAGCATCGACCATCTAGAGACGAGCATCGACCATCTACATCGCCCATCTAGAGAGATGAGCATCGCCCATCTAGAGAGACGAGCATCGCCCATCGGCCTCGCCCATCTACATGGCCCATCGCATCGCCCAGCTACATGGCCCATCTAGACCATCGCCCATCTCATGGCCCATCTAGAGAAAGGAGCATCGCCCATCTACATGGCCCATCTAGAGAGAGGAGCATCGCCCATCTACATGGCCCATCTAGAGAGAGGAGCATCGCCCATCTACATGGCCCATCTAGAGAGAGGAGCATCGCCCATCTACATGGCCCATCTAGAGAGAGGAGCATCGACCATCTACAGTGACCATCTAGAGAGACGAGCATCGACCATCTACAGTGACCATCTAGAGAGAGGAGCCTCGACCATCTAGAGAGACGAGCATCGACCATCTACATCGCCCGTCTAGAGAAACGAGCATCGACCAACTACAGCAACCATCTAGAGAAACGAGCATCGACCAATCAGCAACCATCTAGAGAGGGCATCGCCCATCTACATGGCCCATCTACAGACAACTACATGGCCCATCTATAGAGGAGCATCAACTACATGGCCCATCTATATTGAGGGCATCGCCCATCAACATGGCCCATCTAGAGAGCATCGACCATCTACATGGCTAGAGAGGCATCATGGCCCATCTAGAGACGAGCATCGACCATCTACATGGCCCATCTAGAGAGACGAGCATCGACCATCTACAGCGACCATCTAGAGAGACGAGCATCCACCATCTAGTGAGAAGAGCATCGACCATCTACAGCGACCATCTACAGAGACGAGTATCGACCATCTACAGAGACCAGTATCGACCATCTACAGCGACCATCTACATCGCCCATCTTCAGAGACGAGCATCGCCCATCTACAGAGACGAGCATCCCCCATCTACAGCGACCATCTACAGAGACGAGCATCCCCCATCTACAGCGACCATCTACAGAGACGAGCATCGCCCATCTACAGCGACCATCTACAGAGACGAGCATCGCCCATCTACAGCGACCATCTACAGAGACGAGCATCGCCCATCTACAGCGACCATCTACAGAGACGAGCATCGCCCATCTACAGCGTCCATCTACAGAGACGAGCATCGCCCATCTATATCGCCCATCTACAGAGACGAGCATCGCCCTTCTAAAGAGACGAGCGTCGACCATCTACATCGCCCATCTAGAGAGACGAGCGTCGACCATCTACATCGCCCATCTAGAGAGACGAGCATCGCCCATCTACATCGACCATCTAGAGAGACGAGCATCGACCATATAGAGAGGCGAGCATCGACCATCTAGAGAGACGAGCATCGACCATCTACAGCGACGAGCATCGACCATCTACAGCGACCATCTAGAGAGACGAGCATCGACCATCTACAGCGACCATCTACAGAGACGAGCATCGACCATCTACAGAGACGAGCATCGACCATCTCCAGCGACCATCTACAGAGACGAGCATCGACCATCTCCAGCGACCATCTACAGAGACGAGCATCGACCATCTCCAGTGACCATCTACAGAGACGAGCATCGACGATCTCCAGCGACCGTCTACAGAGACGAGCATCGACGATCTCCAGCGACCATCTACAGAGACGAGCATCGACGATCTCCAGCGACCATCTACAGAGACGAGCATCGACGATCTACAGCGACCATCTACAGAGACGAGCATCGACGATCTACAGAGACAAGCATCGACGATCTACAGCGACCATCTACAGAGACGAGCATCGACCATCTACAGCGACCATCTACAGCGACCAGCATCGACCATCTACAGCGACCAGCATCGACCATCTACAGCGACGAGCATCGACCATCTACATCGCCCATCTAGAGACGAGCATCGACCATCTCATCGCCCATCTAGAGAGACGAGCATCGACCATCTACAGCGACCATCTAGAGACGAGCATCGACCATCTACAGCGACCATCTAGAGACGAGCATCGACCATCTACAGCGACCATCTAGAGACGAGCATCGACCATCTACAGCGACCATCTAGAGAGACGAGCATCGACCATCTACAGCGACCATCTAGAGGCGAGCATCGACCATCTAGAGAGGCGAGCATCGACCATCTACAGCGACGAGCATCGACCATCTACAGCGACGAGCATCGACCATCTACAGCGACGAGCATCGACCATCTACAGCGACGAGCATCGACCATCTACAGAGACGAGCATCGACCATCTACAGCGACCATCTACAGAGACGAGCATCGACGATCTCCAGCGACCGTCTACAGAGACGAGCATCGACGATCTACAGCGACCGTCTACAGAGACGAGCATCGACGAACTACAGCGACCGTCTACAGAGACGAGCATCGACGATCTACAGCGACCGTCTACAGAGACGAGCATCGACGATCTAGAGCGACCATCTACAGAGACGAGCATCGACGATCTAGAGCGACCATCTACAGAGACGAGCATCGACGATCTAGAGCGACCAACTACAGAGACGAGCATCGACGATCTAGAGCGACCATCTACAGAGACGAGCATCGACGATCTGGAGCGACCATCTACAGAGACGAGCATCGACGATCTAGAGCGACCATCTACAGAGACGACATCGACGATCTAGAGCGACCATCTACAGAGACGAGCATCGACGATCTAGAGCGACCATCTACAGAGACGAGCATCGACGATCTAGAGCGACCATCTACAGAGACGTGCATCGACGATCTACAGCGACCATCTACAGAGACGAGCATCGACGATCTACAGCGACCATCTACAGAGACGTGCATCGACGATCTACAGCGACCATCTACAGAGACGAGCATCGACGATCTACAGAGACAAGCATCGACGATCTACAGCGACCATCTACAGAGACGAGCATCGACCATCTACAGCGACGAGCATCGACCATCTACATCGCCCATCTAGAGACGAGCATCGACCATCTACAGCGACCATCTAGAGACGAGCATCGACCATCTACAGCGACCATCTAGAGACGAGCATCGACCATCTACAGCGACCATCTAGAGACGAGCATCGACCATCTACAGCGACCATCTAGAGAGACGAACATCGACCATCTACAGCGACCATCAGACGAGCATCGACCATCTACAGCGACCATCTAGAGAGGCGGGCATCGACCATCTAGAGAGACGAGCATCGACCATCTACAGCGACGAGCATCGACCATCTACAGCGACCATCTAGAGAGACGAGCATCGACCATCTACAGCGACCATCTACAGAGACGAGCATCGCCCATCTAGAGAGACGAGCATCGCCCATCTACATCACCCATCTAGAGAGACGAGCATCGACCATCTACAGAGACGAGCATCGCCCATCTACATGGCCCATCTACAGAGATGAGCATCGACCAACTACAGCGACCATCTGCATCGCCCATCTACAGAGACGAGCATCGCCCATCTACTTCGCCCATCTAGAGACGAGCATCGCCCATCTAGAGAGACGAGTTTCCCCCATCTACATCGCCCATCTAGAGATACGAGCATCGACCATCTACAGCGACCATCTAGAGAGACGAGCATCGACCATCTACAGCGGCCACCTACAGAGACGTGCATCGACCATCTACAGCGACCACCTACAGAGACGAGCATCGCCCATCTACAGAGACGAGCATCGAACATCTACAGAGACGAGCATCGCCCATCTACATCGCCCATCTACAGAGATGAGCATCGCCCATCTACAGCGCCCATCTACAGAGACGAGCATCGCCCATCTACAGCGCCCATCTACAGAGACGAGCACCATCTACAGCGCCCATCTACAGAGACGAGCATCGCCATCTACAGCGCCCATCTACAGAGACGAGCATCGCCCATCTACAGCGCCCATCTACAGAGACGAGCATCGCCCATCTACAGCGCCCATCTACAGAGACGAGCATCGCCCATCTACAGCGACCATCTACAGAGACGAGCATCGCCCATCTACAGCGCCCATCTACAGCGCCCATCTACAGAGACGAGCATCGCCCATCTACAGCGCCCATCTAGAGAGACGAGCATCGCCCATCTACAGCGCCCATCTAGAGAGACGAGCATCGCCCATCTACAGCGCCCATCTAGAGAGACGAGCATCGCCCATCTACAGCGCCCATCTAGAGAGACGAGCATCGACCATCTACAGCGCCCACCTAGAGACGAGCATCGCCCATCTACAGCGCCCACCTAGAGAGACGAGCATCGCCCATCTACAGCGCCCACCTAGAGACGAGCATCGACCATCTACAGCGACCACCTAGAGACGAGCATCGACCATCTACATCGACCATCTACCAGCATCGCCCATCTACAGCGCCCATCTACAGAGACGAGCATCGACCATCTACAGAGACGAGCATCGACAATCTACAGCGACCATCTAGAGAGACCATCTACAGCGACCATCTAGAGAAACCATCATCGACCATCTCCAGTCCACTATCTACCATCTAGAGCGACCATCTCCAGCGACCAGCGTCGACCATCTACAGTGACCATCTACTGAGACCAGCATCGACCATCTACAATGACCATCTACTGAGACCAGCATCGACCATCTACAATGACCATCTTCTGAGACCATCTACAGCGACCCTCTACTGAGACCAGCATCGACCATCTACAGCGACCCTCTACTGAGACCAGCATCGACCATCTACAGCGACCCTCTACTGAGACCAGCATCGACCATCTACAGCGACCCTCTACTGAGACCAGCATCGACCATCTACAGCGACCCTCTACTGAGACCAGCATCGACCATCTACAGCGACCATCTACTGAGACCAGCATCGACCATCTACAGCGACCATCTACTGAGACCAGCATCGACCATCTACAGCGACCCTCTACTGAGACCAGCATCGACCATCTACAGCGACCCTCTACTGAGACCAGCATCGACCATCTACAGCGACCCTCTACTGAGACCAGCATCGACCATCTACAGCGACCATCTCTTGAGACCAGCATCGACCATCTCTTGAGACCAGCATCGACCATCTACAGAGACCAGTAGCGTTCCCCTCCAGCGTCCATCTCCCGAAACCAGCAGCGTCCATCTCCCTAGACCAGCAGCGTCAATCTACAGCGACC